ATCATAGATTTCCTAAGTGATCGTTCCCAGAGAATCAAACTCTCAGAGGGATGTTACTCCGAGTGGGGATTAGTCCCATCCGGGGTACCCCAGGGGACGAAACTAGGCCCGTGGTTGTTTTTGGTGCTCATCAACGATCTAGAAATCAATAACGCAGGCAATATCTGAAAGTATGTTGATGATACAACTACATCCGAGATCGTTGTGAAAGGAGCCAGTAGCAATTCCCAGTTGATTGCAGATACTGTCGTGCAGTGGTCTTTTGAGAATAGAGTAAAACTAAACATTGAAAAATGTAAAGAGCTTAGCATTTCATTTGCAAAGAACAAACCACAACTCGCGCCTATCGTAGTAAATAATCAAGAGCTAGAATGTGTTGAAAGGTGTTACGATCTCCAACAACCTTACATGGAATATGCACATTGATCAAATCATAAAGAAAGCTTCTAAACGTATGTATTTCCTAATACAATTGAAAAGGACCAATGTCGCAAGACATGAATTAATTCTATTTTATACATCTTGTATAAGGTCAGTCATGACCTACGCATCGCCTGCGTTTTTCTACGCCCTGCCATTGTATTTAAAGAAAGATCTAGAGAATGTAGAGAAACGGGCACTATCAATAATTTGCCCGGGACTGGCCTATAGAAAGGCCTTAGAGCTATTATGTCTATCAATGACTACATCGCTAGCTTATGTAAAAAGACCTTCCTCTCGATTGCTAATGACCCGGCCCATCGCTTACATAACATGCTTCAATCGTCAGGGCCGTCTTCCTGTATCATTCTTTTTCCTGTTAACTTGAAACGTAGAATTTCTAAATTTTCTTGTCATAAATAAACGTCGATTTTTGAGCCAAAATTTTCTTGTTACAAAACGCTGAGTTCACGAAATGGCTTTTTCTACGCGAATACACTGGCGTTGTAAACCACAAAACTCAGCTACAGTGAATTGAAAAACGCCTTATTGAATCCTTCCAAGTCTTTTCTTACCTCAAAAAAGTCAGCCCTAGGATTTTGTCGACTTTTAAAAGATCGTTCTCTACAAAAATGGGAAAAACACCGAGCTCGCACATTTGCCACTCGCTAGGAGGTCAATATTGTTTAATAGCGGAGCTCTGGCGCGCGAAGCGCGCCTGCGGAGCACCATGGGTAAGAAAATGTGGTAAACTACCCATCCAAGAAAATTTGGTAATCACGTGACCGTACGCCCGACCGTCCGTCCGCACCACAGGCATACCAATGTGAAATAACTCAATCAACAGGTATGGTAACCCAAATGCAACTCGAGGTTATTTAGGAGGGAAATCGCATAGCCACCCGCGTCTGTAAAGCAGAGGCAACTAAAGAGTCAATAAAGACAAAACCGAAAAGCGCAAATTGTTTCTGTATCCGTGTTTTCTAAAGTATTAAGCTCAGATTATTGTCATGTCCACACATTTGGAATATAGGGCCAGAGAAAGACAGAGAAAAAGAGGCAGGCCAGCGAAACTCAACGACAAAAAGGGCAACAGAGATCTAGAGCGAGAGATAAAAAACAAAGGAGACATTTTTTGTTTGAAGAACAACATGAAAATTTTGTAGCGGCGGTGACAAAATGAGAAATGCTAGCTGCCACCAATGCAAGGAGAAAATGAGCGGCAGTGAAAAAAAAAAGTGAACGAGAACACGTACGACATTTCCTCCATAAAAAAGTTTCTGGACGTTTCACGTTGTGGTCGTGCAAAACAACGGCAAAGAAATGTACAAAAAAAGTGTGCTGCACGTGCAAAGTTGCTTTTTTGCTAATTAGACCTATTGTTGTTTTTTCTCCGTTCTCCGACGTTGCCTTCGCCGCTTAGCATTACACGATTTTATATTTTGTTTGAACAAACTATAAATATTATCGAGAGCTTCGCTTTTAGCCGTGGCTAAATCTATATATTAGTCCGAGATAGCGAACCAATCAGATTGCTTAAAATCACCAAGATCACTGAGTGTGTATATACTAAAATCAATTGACCTAGAGAGTCTTCAAATATTGTATTAAATATCAACCATCTCAAAATACCTTAAACTTCATTCAGTATCTACATATTAGCAAAGACTGAAAAAGGACTGCATGGTTAAGGCAATATGGTCACGTATCCGCTAGTAGTGCAGTTAATTGATAATAGATAATAATAATAATAACAATAATAATAATAATAATAATGATGATGATGATGATAAAAGAAGAAGGAGGAAGGGGAAAAGAAGAAGAAGAAAAAGGAAAGGTTGTTCAACGAGGACACTAGACCGTAATTTTTAGGGAGTTATTAAACCTCGAAAAATGGAGTAAAAATTTTAGGTACAAAATAACCCCTTTTTTGGGGTTATTTTAACTCCTAATTTAACTCCGAATTTGGGGTCATTTTTACTCCTGAAAAAGGGTTTTTTTTACTCCCAGTCTGAAGTTAAAATAACTCCGAAATGGGGTTACTTTTGCTCCTTACATGGGTTGTTTTTACTCCTTTTGGAGTTAATTTAACTCTGAAAGTGGAGTAAAATTTTAGGTACAGGATATCTCCTTTTGGGGGGTTATTTTGACTCCTCAATATCTGGGGTCACTTTTACTCCTGAGAAAGAGTTCTTTAAACTCCTTTTTGGAGTTAAAATAACTCCCCAAAAAATAATTCTACTGTAAGGAGTTAACTCCACTTGGGGAGTTATTATAACTCCTTGAAAATTACTGTGTAAGAACAGTATGAACACTGATCTTAAACATGGTGCCCGTAAGGAACTTTGGGTGTCTATAATTTGACCTATATAATATGTTTTTAGGATCATACCAAGTTAGTTCACCTTGATAACTATTTTTAGTAGTTTTTACGAGTATTGTAATTAGGTTTCTGATGATTGTAAATTAACCTTAAAAATCTCAATTTGGGATATGTTAATAAACTTCTTGTATTAATAATGATAAATTTACTATAATTATATTATAACATTTTTCATAGCGCTCATATCTTGAGTTCTAGGCGCTCTGCTATAATGTTATATTAGGATGATGTAAAGATTACCAGTGAACAAATATTGGCAACGGAACTTTTCAAAGCAGGTCAAACTAGGTATTATAACTGATTCAATGAAGATTACTTTGTGTATTGGGAACTGGCAATTGGTTACTGGGCGTTTGGGCATGCGATACTCACAGCAATGATTTGCTCCCAAGTAACAACTGCCAAGTGCACCATTCCCAATCTGCAGCAACCTTTAAATATTGATCAATCAGCTTTATATTAAGAACACCTTGAGAAAGTAATCAATAGAGTTAAATGTTAAGAACGTAAAAAAGATCATCAGAGCTCTAGACTCAAAATGAAAGCCTAAAATATCTCAAGCTTGTGATCCTTTCTGCAATGTGCTGGATTCGAAACCCTGATCTCTGCGATACCGGTGCAGCGCTCTACCAGTTGAGCCAACTGGGAGCAGGTCATTGAGTCTGACTACTCCTAAGTTACCATGTGAAGTACATCTAGCCGATTTTTTGGGAAACGAGCCTAACGAGATTTGAAGCTATGAATGATTTACCAATCTCAAGTCGACTAGAAATGTTTCCCTATCTCCCTCCCTCTGATAACATTGCTAAACTGGAACAGTTACAGAAGATTTTTCATTTGTATTCCTTCTGAAACGTAGAATTGTCGCCCGATGCATCAGCCGACATCTCAGTCGACTGTCGGTAACGTTCACATATCGGTCGCTATATCGGTCTAGAGTAAGTTGAAAGTGTCTCGGAGGATCGAGTCTCGAACAAGAGTCGGCTGCTCCAGTCTATTGGTCGACAGTCGGTCGATAGTTATTCGTTACTTCGACGACGGATCACCAACACTTAGTCGATTCAACGGCCAATACCACGGTCCACTATTGTTCGACATAGGGGGTCGATATATCGCCGACCGATATCGACCGACCCTCGGCCGACTCTCGACCAACACTCGACAGATATAGCTACCCGTATGTCGACCGACAGTCGACTGAGATATCGGCCAACACATCGGTCGACAACCCTGCCACATGATTCCCGGGGCTTGATATGTGACTTTTCCCAATCGATGAGCTCATGTAGTTGTTAAGGCGGTGAAATTGGCTTGCACTTCATTCGCCAGTAGTGTTACTACGATGGCTGTGCCGTCCGTTTTTCACACCCAGGCTGGAATTGGGATTTTTGCTGATGTCCGCATTTTTGGAACCGGTTTGGGGCGCTTTGGACTGGTTGTTTTTGCTAATTAATTGGACAAAACGAAACCCTTAATAATTTTTAATAATCCTTAGAATTTATAACTGTTCGATCTTTCGTTTGGTGTGACTATTTTTGTAATATTGTGATTTGATTTTTATCTATATTTTAAATCTTTTTTATTTTTATTTTTTCATTTTTAATTTTTTACAGGACCTGCATTGATAGCAGTTTTTTTCTTAAAACTGAAGCAGCAATCCTGCATAAATATGTTTAAATTATTATTATTATTATTAGAGAAGCCTCCTCTATATAGTAATGAGTATGAGTAAGAAAATTGACGCAAATAAAATAATCTACCCTATATATATGAATAGGGAAAATCTATCGAAAATGTCTAAGGACGAATTAATAAATATGCTAATGGGTAATCAAACCGCCAGCGCCAAAAAGGCAGGACCGGTTAAACAGACTGCGAGCGCCAAACAGGCAGGACCAGTCTTTAATCCAAAATCGCTTACACAGTCGGCCGCCGAAAAAATGGAACAATCAATAAAGCGACCGGCCAAACAGCCAAGCAGAATGCCATCTCTTACACAATTAGCAGCACGAGCATTAGTTAGGACCGAATCAAGTACTTTGAGGAACTGTCCGATAAACAAGCTCCTACTATTAGATTAGACAAAATTTCGGTTTCGCTGCAAGATATGCGGGATGAGGAACTGAAGCGTGCAAGAGTATCGAAATATAAAAAACAATCATCATTTCAAAACTTGTTTCACGAAAGACTACAACAGATGCCTGGTAAACGAGAGCGGGCACAATTCACAATACACGCTGTTATTGAACATACAATTGGTAACAGAACTGAGTACACTGATAAGACATATGGGCCATTCAAAATGGAAGTTCCAAAATTGAGTAAACCTGATATGTATAAATTCTTAATGTATACGCTGCTCCAAAACAACTTTACAGTTTTATCGACAGAGACTATAGCCGAAATTGGAGCTACTATAACAACACACAATGAGCAGTTCTTCAAAGATCACAAAGTTGGTGTGCTAAAATTAAATACATTCTTCTTGTACAAGCAGTTTCAGATTAAACAACGGGGCGATAATACTTGTATGGTGGATTTTGTTTGGCATAACTGCCAGGGTAAGAAAGGATTCCAGAAATGTGACCCTCCACAGGAATTTGATGCTAAAGGTGAAAGCACGCGCACGACACGCTTGCACGACACGCGTAGCGTGCCGTAGACCACGGATATGTGCACATTAAATTGGAAAAATAAAGACGGACACACTTGCCTTTGTTTTGGTAAATTTAACACGCTAGACCTTTTGTTTTATGGTAGCGTGACATATGTCACGGCAAGTGTGCGAATTATAGCACGCTTAGCGTGCAATTTGGGTAAGACACGCTGAACACGCTTGATTACTAAAACTGCTAAGATGATAAAAATGGCTTCGGTCTTCAGCGGATTTAATCAGCATTAATAACTGGTCAAAGGGAATCAAATATACCATTTGAGACTGTTTTGGAATTTGATCGTAACCGGAATATCACCACTTATGGTCGTCTAGCCTGGAATTAACGCGAGATCAGTGTAAACCAATTCCTCCGGCTGTCGACTGTTGACCAGAATCGCAAACAGGCCTGGTATTGCATGCGAGGCACTGAAGTTATGTCGCCTGAAAATTATAGTTATGCCACCGGAATATTTATTAGCAGTAATGCACAGAGAAATGAAGTTGAATAAATTAGTTTAATATATTTCGTTAAGCCATGCTGAGACGAACGAAGGTAATTAAATCGGAGAAACAAAAACTCGCTATCAATCATAATTTATGTGAAGATATCTCTTTACGCTATGCTAAGACGAATCAAGCGCTGAAAACGTGTACTATATCTCGTTCTTCACAGGACGAAAAAAACAAGAGTCTGTAAACTAAAAATCTCAGCGATCGTCGAGAAAGTGACTTAAGTCCGAAAGATCACTGTTTCTGAGAAAATTGCAAATGTGTTTCAAATTAAGGAAAGTTAGGATAACCTTTGCACAGCTTCGTCAGTAAACAATTCTGGAAAGAACTTTGATTTTGCAATGCTAATAAAGTTCTACCCATAAATCCAGTAGGTCCCACAGTCCACGGTTTGTACTTTTCAAGCGACAACGTTTTTTCAATCAGATACTATCGTTGCGATCGCTGAGGTAGAACTTTTTCTTTCTCGATAGTTACCAAAAAAGGGTGCCGTTCATAATCATTTACAGTTCCCTTTTGTAGAGGAAATTTATTTAGCTTATAGATAACACGCCTTGCGTGCTTTTGCGCACACTGAAAGCGTGTTGTGCTTTTTCGCACGGAGCTTTTGTTTGAAAACTTTAACACGCTCTTTTGTTCGACTTGCTCACGCTTAATTGTCTTAAGTGTGTCCTCTGAGACAAAAGAAATTGCTAATGAGGCAAGATTGCAAGCGTGCTAAAGCGTGTTAAAATAAATTCTTTTGTTTTAAAGTGAAAGCGTGTCGTGCACGTGCTTTCACCTTTAGCATTAAAATCCTGTGGAGGGTCACAAATATACATATCAAAATTTATATGATGAGATGGAAGTTTATGGGTCAGCCAGTTTTCCAATGATGTCAACACAACAGTTAATTGATTGTTCTAAAGTATGTCATCCAAATGTATCAATCCACGCTTATGACAGTACATGGCGCAAATTTATGAAACATATTGCTAGCGCATCAAGAGATATAAGCCTCGTGTTTTACATCAAAGACCACCATCTATATCCTATTCAAGATGACCACCTCAAACAGATCGCAACAAAAGCCAACCAAGGCGGCGCCGACAATTTATGGAAGTATATGACAGACATGAAATGGTCCAATAAATCGAGTAATTACATTATGTATCAACAACCTATCGACAATGGTGATGCTATTATCGTCAAACAAGAAGATAGCGAAACAGACAAACCAACACTATCAACAATCGAGAATCACGTAATCGTGTTACCACCGGATACAAAAATAGAACCCATAATTGAAGAGTATATGATCAGGACTAATTATTTTGTCGAGTATTTACATTACGATAACAATGGCAGAGTAGATGGCTTTATGGATCACAAGAATAACATGTATGTCCTTAACAACGAATATGAAACCCGTAAAACGATCTGTGAACGGTTATACAGAATATACAAATCTTATGATTTCATATGGTGCAATCAATCATACACGTCTTTAGCATCATCGTCATTCAAACGCATGAGAGGCTATTTGCCCGAATCACAATATGACACCAAAACACGGGAAGTACTTGATGATTTCTATCCTCGAGCATTGCAATGGTGTTCAACTGACCCAGCACCCGATAATCTGGTGTCATTAGATATATCAAAATGTTACCCCTCCATTCTGATCGACAATGACCAACCCATTCCGTTATACACAATTCACGATATTACCAAGCCCTTTGATGGCGTATTTAAGATTGGCGAATACTATATCGATGAATGTCATCGAAAAACGACTAGGAAAAGGTATCAAAATTGAAGCCGGCTTTTATAGTAAACAATTAGTACAAGGATTGATCACAAAGTTTAAGATGCCCACCTCTAATGTCAAATGGTGTATCCAAGCACGTAAAACATTAGCCCCAGACACATTCAAGAATTACATGTTGGCAATCTTTTCAATGTTCGCAGAATCTCAAGCCAAATTACTGGCAAACAGTTACATCGGCGAACTGAGTAGGAAATATAGCCGCAAGGACCATGGATTTACATGTAGTTCACTCGATACAGCACAGTGCATCTGGACATCTGCTCTTGCTGAGAATCGTGATGTTGTGAATGACAGTTATCAGAATCCAAACACTAAACAAGAACTGTATCTAATCAGAGAGCGTCAAATTGAGCGCATATTTTCTGACAATACATCAATCAACCGCTTTGTTATCTCTCAGTCCATATTGAAATGTCTGAACATGTTACATGACAATGCGAGTCACGATAATGATGGCAATAGAATCAGTCAAGTGTATGCAATCAATATTGACGGTATCTTTATGACCAATCCTGCAAACCAATATCCCAACAAGAAAGATGTTGAATTTACAACAGACTATATTGGACAGATATTTCAGACTGATAGCCCGGCTGTATATTTTGAGAAACATTACAGGGAGAATTTTAATCCTGATAATTACACTGATTATGTGGGAGAGGGTGCTATTTATTATGGCGGCGCCAGATGTGGTAAAACATATCCATTATGCCAAAAGGCACTAGCAACTGATGACCCCATAATGCTATCATTTACTAATAAGGCTATCCAGAATGTAAAATCGGTGCTATGTGATGTGTACAATAATTATGAGTTGGCCAAGAAGTGTTACACATTTGATCTTTTCTTTTGTGATCATCACGGGCGTGACATAACAGCACTAGAGGGCAAAACAATATTTGTGGACGAATATTCCATGACCCCAAATAAATGGATGACTAAACTCTATCAAGCGTTCACTAAATACAGACTCACTATTTACATGTTTGGCGATACCAATCAATGCGACCCAGTAGAACCAACTGATATGTTTTATGATTATTTTACATCCATTCCAATCTCAGAGATGTGCCCGCGACGGGTTGAAATGAAGTATATAGAAGAATATGCTCGATACGACCCACAAACACGGGATCTGTTAACCAAGTTTCTCAAGAGTGGTACTATCAAACACCGATTTCAACCACCAAAAGATAGTTACCATAATATTTGCTATTTGAATAAAACAAGGCGGTATGTCGCGCAAGAATGCTGTAATAGATTTACAGAAAACTTCAAATATCAAGGACATAGGGAGAAATATAAGGTAGCGGCCGGAATGCCAATGTTAGTGACACAGATCATAAGGAATAAAAACATGTTCAATATGGAGCAGTATAACATTGACAGTATTGGGGAATCTGAAGATGGCAATCCCATATTTACACTAAATGACACAACATTCAGTCACAGTGAATTCGGCGAATCTTTCATCCCAGCATTTTGCGTTACGGTGTATAAGTATCAGGGAGGAACAATAAGCACTCCATACAACATTTATGATGTAGAAAAAATGGACAAGAAACAACTCTACACAGCATTATCTAGAACAACGGAACTAAATCATGTCCATCTTGATACAACAAACTTGAACCCTAAATACAAAATCAGAATGCCACCGCGAACTGTTATAGTGAATAGTTACTTTAATGATGACTACCATAATGGTCAAATATATAAAATCACATTCAAACATAACAATAAATTGTATATTGGTAGCTCTATTAGAAATCTACAAGAACGGCTCAATGAACATGTGACTACAAAATCAAGTGCAATATTCAAGTACAAGGATGATGAACCAATAATTATGCCAATAATAAGCTCACCTTGTAAGGACCGACAAAAATTAAACAGAGTGGAAGCCGAATACATCAGATATTATAGTGAAAAATATGGGGACCGTTTTTACGACGTGAAGATTGACGGTAAGCGCTACGCTACAAAAGCACGTTATAATGAACAATCTAAAGAAGAAGCATTAACCAAGATCACAAAAAAGCAACAACAATTGATCGATGAATTAACAATCGAATTTAACTAATAATTGATTTCTTAGTGAGGGCAAATAATACTCTAAGACAAAAATCCTGTATAATAGTATAGTAATGTGTAATAAAGAAATTCATGAGTTATTGATCCAAGAGGGTCAAGTTAACTGCGTCTTTTGTGATAAACAGATTCAGGATCCTGTTAAGCCTGAGCGATATTTCTGCTGCGATTCTATGAGACTGATTAAGGATAACCTTCTGGTGTGTAAAAATTGTGGGCAAGTACATGATTATTTAACAGCAGACGAATACATTGACTTTGATGAGAACAGATACAGGATAAAAAGAAAGTCCGTCTATCACAGAAAATATCATATCATCAATACGCTGAGTGATATAGCACAAAAATAATATCCAAATTGAGCATAATGATAGAGAGAGTATCCTGAGAATATTCAAACTATTTGACCGTATTGAACACCCAGATGTGGGCAGAAAACGGCTTATCAGTGTGAATTTTATAATAAAACAACTGTTTGGCATCTTAGGAATAGAATAAAAGTTCATTCCTCATACACGAATAAGAAATACGCTAAAATATTACAATGAATGGTGGGACAAAGTTTATGGTCACATGAAGGATGACGTCAATAGAATGATTTTAAGGAGGCATTATTGATCTGTTGGATGGGAGAGGAACTTTTTAGCGTACTGCTTTTCAAATCTTGTTACTAATGGAGCAAAATCCACAATCGTATCATCTGATATATTCAGTTCCTTCAGGAAATCGTTTTTGTCAAATGGCCCCCCTCGCAAAGCGGTACGGAGGTCAAGTAATATTTTCTGGTAAGTGGAATAAGCAGAACTTGACATCTCTATTTTTCTTTTGTAGCTTTTCTTGTCAGAAAGTGTTTTAAGAACTAAACCAGCACCTGATATGCTTCCTAGAATGACCGGGTTGGCCGTCAAACCGCCAGCAACAGCTCCAATTACTATCAATCCAGTGGAGGATATATTTATGGCGAGGTTTAGTTTCTTAAAGTGTTTGAAGGCCTGTCGGTGACACCAATATTTATAATGATAATATTTATACAATTCTTTGATTTCCTGTATTTCTTCTTTTGTTTTGCTTTTATCGATATGATTAAAGCGAAATATATTTTTCTTTTGACTCATTATAATATTGGGTTAGACAAATTACAGAACATAAGAACCGTTCAGTTTTTCCTGCACCAATATTGTATGAAATTTGTGAGAAACAAGGTCATAAAAGTTTGGAGAATACATTACTCTACAGATTATTTCATCTTCTGAGAATATTCTGAATGTGTAGTTACTCTGAGATGCTAAAGCTGAACTTAATGTTAATGTTCCAGAATAATTTGAGACTGAAGCTTTTACTGTTAGGTCACCCCCTGTCCTTTTCTTAGTTAACCAAAACACAACACGTTTACCATTGAAACTGTTTAGTAATGTGATAAAAGTTTCGTTAGTTGACCCATCTCTCAGACCATTAGTTTGTAGTTTTAATTTCTTTGTTGTTTTGTCATAAATCAAGTGTGGTTTTTCATAAGCTCCATTACTCATGAACGTTTTAATGTACATATTTTTGTTCAGCCACAGCTGCATAACAACACAAAGAGTAAAGCTCCTTTTACCGAATAATCTTAAACTTATTGGTTTATTTTTTATCCTCAATCCTCCTTCCTCGATATTGCCAATAAACATATTTGTGAAATATATGTTAGGAAGTAAACCTATAAATACGACACCTGATGGTCTTGTTTGTAGTTAATTATAGATACTAGCATCGCTTAAATCATAAAATTCCTCAAATATTTTCCTGTACACATTATTCTTTGTATAAGGGCTCAATTTTGTCTCCAAATCCTGGACCATCTTCACAGTAGCAGCCGAATTATTCTTAGTTTTATCCGGAGCAATATTCAGTATCTTCTTCCTGTTCATATCCAGATCAACATTGTAAACAACTTCTGCTGGTTTGATATCAAATGCCGTTTGATAATCATATGTTTTGTCTGGATCTAAATCCATTGACTCACCAAGAATACCGTAAACTATTAGGTAATATTATTGAAATTAGTTGGATATGTATTCAAGTCAATTCCTGACTGGGCCATAACATTCTGGAAATGTAAGAAATAAGGAGTGGATGAAGCTGTCTCACTGAATGTCACCAGGAGTTTATGATAGTACATATATTCAACCTGATTGGAAGATGTTCTATACTCATGTGAGTACTTATTGACATGCCATCTTTTTACAGTTACTCCCTGGCTAGTAGTTGCGTCAACAGTAATTACAGATTTGTGCCACAATTGATAGTCTGTTGTGAGGATTTCCAAACACAATGTGTATTCTTTGTCCTTTTGAAGGGGGTAGCATTGGATAGCTAATCGCCATTTATAACCACCCTCTGAATTCTTCTTAATGGAAGCGAAAATCACCTTTTTATTGTAGGAATGATAGTTGCCCGATGTTGCTTCTAGATCACCAATGCTGTTTAGGGCAATACTGTCAGTTAGTAGAAAGAATCTTTTTGTAATCAACTCCAGTTATGTCGCATTAAAGCCAAGTTCAGCTACAAGGTAGTATGAACCTTAGTCCCTAGAACTGCAGTTGGTTCTTTTAAGCTTAATGATAAGTATCGAAAGGCCCTTGCATACTGCTATAGTTTGTGATTTGGAGTATCGGTATGCAATTTTAGCCATTTTCGAGTTGACTCGAGCTTCTGTCTTAAAACTAGGCGAAGTGCGAAGCCTTTTGATATGAAAATTAATTTTAAAGCTTAAGGAGAAAGGTTTGAAGATTGACCTCGTTTTGAAAATGAAAATTGATCCCATGAAATGGATATTATGGAAGGCCACAGTAATTGCTGTGACAGAAAAAGGAAATCAGTTTTGATCATTCAGTGCCTGACTTCTTTTTGGCAGATATAGATATAGATAGATATATAGATATAGATATGTGTTTGGTTGCAAATGAATGGTAGATCCAGGATATACTTTGAAGCGCGCCTCCGGACACGCTCAAGCTTTCGATTCAGATCTATTGACTACGGAGTCCAGACTTGCGTGCCGACAGCCAAAATGGGATCTGCGCTTTGCATTTGCTGGGACTAGTTAAAATTTAGGCTAGCAGAATTTGACCACGAGACCAGGTCAGATAAGTCCTCTTGAAGTCGTTTTATCTGGCACATATTCCTCAAAAAGTAGATAACATCCATCGAAAAATACACGTTTTGCTTTTCATTGAGAGAAAAGACTCATTCCTTTGCATGAAACGGCGACCAATAGCGCGGAGATGCATGTCCACGTGCGTTTATCACTTATATTCTTGAGTTTACAACAGTAATTTCGATTGCTGTTAATTTAATCCTGTTGGCAAGCTATTTGCTTAGAAAACGATTACAATAAACCAAAGTAGTATTTTTTTTATAGAAGCTGACGAGTGCGCCCTCGGTACTCACAACTGTCACAGTTCACGTGCTTCATGTACAAACACGGTTGGTTCCTTCAGTTGTTCATGCAATAATCCTTACATCGGAGATGGCAGAACTTGCATTAATATCCCGAACGGTAAGTCACTAAATAATTAGGAAGATAATAAGTTGTTTACCTCATTTGCTAGATCGCTTCCATACTCTTGTTAGATAATGTGCGTTACTCCATACTCGATTGAATTTTTTTCAAGATCTGATTGTGAAATACATTCTGTGCCTTCACTACAATGATTACAGTATTCGTTGTATAAACGCGGAATCTTGCAATTTAGTGAAGAGATAACCGACTTAGAAGTTAAAAGATCCACCCTTCTCCCCTTCCTTTATAAAACGGCGCCCTAAATGCAGCGTGTTATAACTTAAGCTAGTGAACTCCACGTTTATTTCTGACCAAGAGAAATTAACCTAAAAGTACAGCAGTGTACTTTTCAAAACTTTATTTCTTGATGTTATTGCATGGGAATTTTTCTCTGAGATTGCAACGTTAGACGACAACGACTGACTTTTCAGAACTATTTAGCTATGAATACGCTGCTTCAGTTGTTTGACAAAAACGTTGTAATTTCTTCGCAGTTTATTCAAATGAAAGTAATAGCGTCCTTTCCTTTGTTTGGTTTATACTTTTTCCTTTTTTTTTTGTTTTTGTTTTGGCGCAATATCGCTTTTATTTAAGGTTTAAATTTTTTTTTTTTTTGAAAGTGACAAAAAAGGACGCTGCTTACTTCAGTTTAATTACGGGACCAACCGCAATGATAAAAATAATGCATTTATATAGCGCCATTAGCACTATTTGCTCATGGCGCTTATTTTTTATAATAAGAAGTATATACAAAAGTATAAAAGTATAAACAATTGAAAAGTTTCAAGGTTAATATGTAGAGAAAAAATAGTAATAACAATTACAAGTTAAAAGCCATTTTAAAAAGGTAAATTTTCAATGTATTTCGATACAGTTTTTCGGAGACCATACAATCGCCTTAAGGTGATTCCTTAGTAAAAGAACCTAAGATAGATTGTAGATAAAACTTGGTACACTGATGTAACAAGTCAAGAAGACGATGAAAAAGTAATAAAAAGTGGGGGTCACCGTGCTCGTTTTGACGTCACAATGATGACAAATACGGCTATTTTAGACCCTTTGACAAAAACCGCGCGCAGCCCAAAACTACACGAAAAGGAGAGATTTTTCGATCATGCATGTGGTATCGCACAGAATTTGACTTTAGTGTATTGTTTATCCACTTACATACCAGAAAAATGCCTTTTAATGCCCTTGTTTTAACTTTACACTCCAAAATAAAATTGAATTGGACACGCGCTATTCGACGCGTGATAGCTCAATCCGTACAATTTGGTAAAGTTGCCAAAAAACTGATCATAGATTTGTGCCAATTTTTTTCTCATCGAAAGGGAGCACTGTCCTTATTAAAATCATGAAATAAAAAATGGAGGTCACCGAACTCGTTTTTGCGGTAGTGCTGGAGAAAGTGCTCACCAAATGCATTTTCTCCGATTTTTGAGAGAGGACTG